TGACAAAAAAGAGAGCAGACATACGGCCAGAGCACCAGACATGAGTCCGAGGTAAGATTTCGGCGGAGAGGCAGGGATCAGACACTGACAGAACCAGCAGCTTTCAGTGGACACACTGATGACTTTGTTCAACTGTGATATGTTTCCCGATGCCTTGTCGGTTTGAGCCGCGGGCAGCGGTGCAGTCTGTACTGACACACACTGAACATCTGGATCAGATGGGCATGTCTGGCCTAAAGCTAATATGACAAACAGTGGATATTGTCTAAAATTTAATCTTGATAAATGCAGCTTTAAATCACCCGGTCGTGTACCTAAAGAGGAGGCGTAAAGTAATGAATAATCCCAGAGTATGAACATACAGTATTTAACAATTTACTGTGATGCTGAACGGAGTGACTGTACGTAGCTAAATAGTTGCACAAAATTAGGAATCAGTTGTTTTACACTGACAGTGTCCGTAGCTGGCGTTATAGCATTCCGCCTACAGTTGCGTTTATTGTCATAAGCATATTTAGACACAAATCGCTTGTGAGGGGAAAAGGTGCAACGTTTGTGGGTACACGGTTGCACTAAATGTAACGGGAAAAGGCCCTTCTGTCGCTAATTTTCAGGAGAATTAAATTTTACAATACAGCCTACAGTCAGTTTCCCCGTTCCGTCTCTTTTCAGGTGATGGTGAGGGAGGTTTCTCCCCCTTACAGCACAGCAGGTGTTTTACCTCCAGAGAGAGAGAGAGTGGGGGGTGGTGGGGTCGGGGTGGGGGGTATCAAACCTCTTCTTCATCCCCACTTAGCTTAATTGCCCTCTTTAAGTGAAGCAGGGGGCCTCTTAAGGCTCCAAGTGTTCCCAGGGGACGTTTACTTAGTGAAGGTGACACCTTTATTTAAAAAGTTCGGAATGCCGGCAATTGTGAATTGATTTCCTAAATTAAACAAAAGAAGTAAACATACACTGTGATAGGATTCGATTTTATTTTGGCCTCAGGGACAACAAAAAAAACGAAATACAGTGCAAAACGTGTTGAGATAACCAGTCACTTCCATCACTAGACTGCTCTCCAAAGTGTCGCTGGATTGGCCGATCATAAATATGCAACATATATACCTATACGATAGCTGCCTGTCTCTTTAAGGCGATGTGTTGAGAAGTTCAAGTCGAGGTCAGCAGAGGTTCCTGCCCTCGGTGTTACCTTTTAGTTTTATTATAGACTTACATCACACGGGGCGGCTCAAACACTTAAGGCGCATTATGGCTCCATTATCATCTCCGTGCGCGTTATTGCTCCAGCTCAAAAATAGCTAAGAAAATTTAAAAAAGGAAACGGATGCTGGTCTAAGCACGTAGTTTTTAGGTTTTTTTTTTTATAGAACATGAGAAAGAAAGGAGAGGAGGGGCAGAGAGAGAAAATGGGGGAGGGAGGAGAGTGGGTGGGTGGGAGGACGGGCCTAAGGAGCGACAAGAAATTCATATCAATTAATAATCATTAAAAAAAGAGCTGGCAGACGCGCTCGGAAAACTGGCATGGTTTTTTGGAGGCTGGCAGTTCAAAGCTGAAACGTCAGATATGACTCCTAGAGCCTGCTGAGATGATCATTAAGGGAGACTTAGCTCGGATGGCAGAAGACATCGGGCATGCAGGTAAGAGCTGCGCCACACAGGCTCCCAAACCACGGCAGGGCAGGGGGACATCTAGGTGTTTGGCCATTAAACTGGACAGTGCATTCTATCCGAAAGCAGACCAATGCTTTCTTTTTAATTAAATCGTTGAAAGAATAGAAACTATTTCATATTGTGCTGCGTTTCACCTCGTTTATTATTTGGATATGGACCGGAGGCTGCGCTTATTTTTTCCGTTTTTAATTCCAGTTGTTTGTAAACATCTGCTCAACCTTTTCTCCCCAGAATAATGAATCTTACACAGACCAGTCACTTAATTTGTAATATTCTTCGGGGTCCGTCTGATGGGGAGTTTAGATCAGCCTGTAGGCCTATCGTGGTTTAAAAAATCGGCAAAGTTTAAACATTTGAGTACTAAACAAATTTGTTTCCCCCTGCAAAATCAGATTTTGGAGCAACATCTTTACTTAGAGGTTTAGCCTGTTTAATTTTTTTTTCTCAATGTTGAGTCCATTTTTTAAAGGCTCAGATTTAATGCAAAACTTTCGGGAACCCTCTGTTAAAAGCGAACTTCTTTGCGAATCCTGTAATAAATTTAGGAAGGCAGCAAAATCATACGGTTCCCATTGAACATTCTAAAATAGGCCTGTCACCGTTTGTTATAATGTCACGGACAGAATATTATAGAATTATCTGGGGGAGTTTTTAGTGCATGTAAAAATCTGAGATTTAGTATGGCTGCATGAAAGAGATGCTTGTGAGTGCTGCTGACAGGTCTGACGACGGAAAGAGTCGCTATAAGAAACAGCTGTGTGATCCACCCTGGAGTGGAGAGGTCTGTTGGTGGAGGTGATTTAGGGCTCTGTGTCGGAGATAAGGAGAGGTCAGAGACGAGGCGCTGCAGCTCCGAGGATGGATTCACTCGTGATTCGGTTAATATGTGAAACGCAGCGTAAAAGAGAGGACGGATCCTCTCGGCGACACAGAGAATCAGCAGACAGCTTCATGCTTTGCTTGCAAAACGCGACTCCAGGTGCGTCAGCTATTAGGCTCTGACGGACTTTGAACTTCAAAAGTTTCTCCTTAATAGACCAAAGAAAGCAAAGAAAACGCATACACCGTAAATTTCATTACAATTTAGAAGAAATTAGAAGTAAGTGCTGCAAATAAAATATTAAAATGGATCTGATCCTGTGCAATATTTAAAGATTTCAGTTCAAAAAGTGATAACTTAACGTAATGGCAGCTAGGAGTTAATTATAAAATCACAATAATATGATTATGCGTGATCTTCTGGTTAGAGAAACTGTTATCTCGGTGCCCATCAAGACTGGAGGCCTCTGACAGTATTTCATAAACGCTTGACGAGTTTTAGATGCGCGATTACAGCAATCAAACAGGAAAGTGACTCTAACGCGCCATGATGTTTGCTGACCTGACTAAAACTCTGCTTGCTCTCCTGTCATGGGTGAAACCACTGGATCTGCACTTTAATATATGCTCACTCTGTTTCACTTCATGCATGTAAAGCTTCTGCATCCTGTAGCTGCCTCATGGCAGTCACAAAAATGACAAGAAATACACTAGCTGCTGGATAAAGCTACATAAAATAGCTCTTTGGTAATTTACACTGACTTTATACCGCATAAACTGAACATGGACTAGATGTGAACATAGTCAGATGGGTTCTAAAATAAGAAATGCTATAGGAGCATGGGCAGCAAATTGAAATGAAATTTAAAAAAAATACGTCAATACGTTTTAAGCAGATGTCTGGGCTGTTTGTGTGACTGAGGCTGAAAGTAGAGGTAGCATGTTAGTCTCCCACCTCACCTCAAACCACAGACGTGACAAAACAGATCAAAACACAGGGACAATGGTTATTAACCTAATGAAAGCAACTGATTGCCCCACAGTAAACCACATCACTATCATCTACTGTAATTTTCCTTGAAGGGTCATTAAAAGCAAGGCTATCAGATGAATCAGCCCTGCATCCCAGAGGGACTCCAGTAACCTTCCCTCAGCCAACTGTACTGTATGTGCAACCTCAAAAAATGATTTAATTTAGCCTCTTTTGCATAACACACTAACACAGTAAGCCTAGTGCAGGTTTTGAATGTGTTTACAAGAGCATTATGTGTAAGAGATTTACTTTAAGCAACGTGTTTTCTGACTAAATACTGCATGACGTCTTAGACAGTGAGCTCCCATGTGCCCTCCAGCTCAAGAACTTTAGAAAAGATTGTTTTACTATCATCTTTCACCTTTTCTCATCAAACACTGAGGCCAGATATTTAAGCTGTAGCTTTTAAATAGTCATTCAGATCACAGTGAGGGTAGAGCAATTCCTACTGTCTTGAGTGTAAGCCACAGCCAGCTTGACAGGTGTTACCACAAGACCGTACCAAAAATAATTTGTTGTATGTGCTGCACATTGCAGGTGCACAGGAATGTTCTTTTGACGTGAGACTTTTTTCTTGTATTTCAGAAGATTTTATCAAATTTACAAGGATGTTAAATGCAGAATTAAATGTCTTACGTGGTCTGGAAAATGTCAGGATGTATAAAAAGCTTGATTTTCTGTTATGCATTGCAATGCAGTTGAACTGTGTCATATAATATGGGGCTGCAGACCGCATACAGACGAGAATGTCCTCTGATTTTGTGTGTATGTGAGCACTCAACGTGACACAGTAACCAGTAACTGTAAGATGAACAACCCTTAATGCAATGGAGACTCTGCAAAAGTTCAGCAAGGTATGGAAAATACTTGGCCTATTGCTCATATCACACTAATTTCTAAACATGTTTGATCTGACCGATGTTGAAATTAATAATAAAATATGACCGTAGACTAATCAGAGTCAGACAGAAACCAGAGGTGGAAACACTTCAGATGACAACAGGGGACATGATGGAGCGCAAACCTAGAGTAAACCTGCCATACTACATTTTTATTGATAGTGTTCTTTTTTTTAGGCATTTATGACTAGATAATAAGTAATAAGTAGTGCAAAAGTCATAAACGTAAATATGAAGACAGAGCTTTTCAAAGTAAAAGTAAAAAATGAACACTTTATTTTTTAAATGATTACATTTAAAAGACTTTTTTCCCTATGGATGGTGATGATGATGTTCACAACTGGACATCATACTTTTTCTGACTTTTCATGTTCCACGTCATCAGTGATGACATTTCCTTCTGGTGTTACAGGCCTGATGCTGAACATGCATTTACACAAGCACACTGCTGAAATTGTACCACGGAGTGACCTTGAGATTTGAGAGTTTTAGTAGCAGGAAGAGCAGATGTATGAGATATTGTTCAGGATTCTCCCAAATTCCTTGGTAAGCTATTTGTCAGGTTTAAGAAAAAAAAGTTCCTACTTCCCTATTCTTGTGCTGCGCACATACACTGAATGAAATAAACAAGAAGTGAACAAGCTGGTGTCAGGAAGACCGTGATCAGACAGATGACATGATATTTATTTAGTTGCTTGTTTCCCATCATTGTGACTAAGCCGTTAGGGACAGTCTGACATGTCTAATCTCATACATAAACTATCATCAGATGCCACTGACTGAAAAGTACCTGGAGCTTCATGCGTGCAGCTGATGTCTTTTATTTTAGGCTCGATGAAACAATTCGTGCTGATATTTGAGTGTGTGCATGTGTGTGTGTGTGTGCATTAGAACCCTGGAGCTCATCTTGATGTAAAGAACTGAACCACCTAATGTTGATTTACATCCCATGTGCTCACTGTTCCTTATTTGACTGGGCAGAGAGTGGAGCGGAGAGACCTATCTTTTTTTGGATGTGTCCTTCCCGCACAGGTTTATACCTGCTGTTCATCATACTTGTGAAACATTCATCCCTTGCTTTGTTTAAAACTTTGCATACCACTTGTGGAAAACTTTATCAGGAAGCCAACAGTTACAAAATATATATCTGCGGTTCTCTGACCTGACGTCTTTCTCTGTTTTTGCTCGCTGCAGAGGAAGTGAATGCGTAGACTTGAATTTCTGATAATGAGAAAACCATTTCAGCTGCTCACCTTTAGCAAAAGTTCACTCTTGCGGAGTGGCCTTCATGTGCACTTCCCACACACAAATTCTGCACAATGCACACATGCCACAGATCAGAATTCTATCAAATTAATTAAACCTAGTTATATAGGTAAAGAAAAATCAGTTATTAATTAATTCATCTTGTGTGCATCTCATAAATATATTTGTATGAAAAGGCTATCTTTTTTCCTTATTACTGCTACAGCAAATTTTTTAAATGATTTATCTTTATGTTGGCAATCAAGCTTTTAGTATTCAAACCTCAAATATATTCTAATATAATCTAAAGTGTAAATAATAAGACTTTTTACATTCCTTTTCTAACATGCAGAGTTAATCATTACTGTGATGTAGATAATTCAATTTGTTTTCGGGGCCTGAAATGCCGACTGCTGTTTTACAGATATCTGTTGTTGCAGGTGGTGGACTGAAGACGATGCTGGATGCCATGGAAGTTCCAAGTCATGCTAGGGATCTCCTCTTGCAGCTCAACAGCCAGCGCACCAAGGGCTTCCTGTGTGATGTTATCATTGTGGTTCAGAACGCCCTCTTCAGAGCTCACAAGAACATTCTGGCTGCCAGCAGCCTCTACTTGAAGTCTTTGGTGGTCCATGACAATCTCATCAACCTCGACCATGAGATGGTGAGTCCAGGGGTCTTCAGGGTAATTCTGGACTATATCTACACAGGCCGCCTTAGTGAGGGAGACCCCAGTTGTCCCACTGAACCCAATCTAGGGGCTGTCTTGGCAGCAGCCAGCTACCTTCAGCTGCTTGACTTAGTGGCTTTGTGCAAAAAGAAGCTGAAGCGAAATGGCAAATACCCTCCCCGCCCAAGTCCTGCATTTCTGCCTTACCCAAAAATGGGACCCAATAGTATGGGTTTAGGAAGTGGAGGCAGGTATAGGGTTTCTACTCCTGTCATTCAACCGTGCCCTCCAGGGGGAATTTTGAACAGCCATGCACCCCGACCACCACCACTAGAGGAGCTAGTTCCCCATCGACTAGCCATCCACACTGGGGAGCTGTATGCTCCCACCTCCACCCAGGGGCCTCCGGTGTTCCCGTCCCAGCAGTCAGCTCTGCCGGCCCTGCTTGGGCGCTCAGCCCTCCCTGAGAGGAACTGCTCCCCCAACTATGGCCTTGACCTCTCCAAGAAAAGCCCCAACTCCCAGACTCAGCACACACCCTCTCGGTCCCATCTGGCAAACACTCATAATGACAAGGAGCGAGATGACACTCTAGGTGGCCGCAATAGTCCCATACAGGTGACGAATGGAAGGACCTTCCCCTCAGAAAAAATGGACTCAACTGACCAAGGAAGCTCCCTCACTCCTCCACTTTTCCCCCATCTCAACCAGCCTCTTGGGCCACACCTCCCTCACCTGAATCACTCAGGCTCTCAGGGCACAGATCGCTACCCATGCCCCCCCAGCCCTAACACCCCCATGGAAGGTGGAGAGGTGGGTAACATTTACTGCTGGGTGAAACACGAGCCAGTGTCGTACCCAGTTGAGGATGAAGATGAGGATGAGGATGAGGAGGAGGTGGGTGAAAACGGAGACCAGCATCATAACCACCACAAGGCCGGGGAGGAGAGTGAAGGAGCAGATGAGAAAAGCGGCTCAGGCACAGAAGAGACAGGCAGCAGTGAAGGCCGCCCGTCCCCTCCTGGACCAATAGGGAGGTTCCACCTGCCGTATGAGCCAGAGAGCTTCGGGGACAATCTGTATGTCTGCATTCCCTGTGACAAAGGCTTCCCAAGCTCAGAGCAGCTCAATGCACATGTGGAGACACACACAGAGGAGGAGCTGTACTGTAACTCTGGCGGAGAGATAGGAAACAGCAATAACAGCAGCACCAAAAACATGAGCAGTAATACGAACGGTTATGGGAACCTGAACAGCAACAGTTTGAACAGCCTGTCCCATCTGGAGACCAAGTCTAGCCAGGGTCTGGGTTCAGGAGGCATCGGGGAGATGATCCGACCCTACCGCTGTTCCACCTGCGAAAAGTCCTACAAAGATCCGGCCACTTTGCGCCAACATGAGAAGACCCATTGGCTGACACGGCCTTACCCCTGCACCATCTGTGGCAAAAAGTTCACGCAGCGTGGTACCATGACACGCCACATGCGTAGCCACCTGGGCCTTAAACCCTTTGCCTGTGACTCCTGTGGCATGCGCTTCACTCGCCAGTATCGCCTCACTGAGCACATGCGCATCCACTCTGGGGAAAAGCCCTACGAGTGTCAGGTGTGTGGGGGAAAGTTTGCCCAGCAGCGCAACCTCATCAGCCACATGAAGATGCACAGCAGTGGAGGGACTGCAGGGGGCCTGGCCACAGATGGGAAACTGAAGCTGGACTTTACAGAGGGCATCTATCCTCTGAATAAATACACAGCAGAGCACCTGGGGCTGAAGCAGGAGAAGGCCAGTGAGCTTCTCATCCAAGCCCAGCACCAACTGGTAGCTGATGCCAAGGTCATAGAGAGCCTCTACCCGCTGTCCAAACTAGCCTCGGAGCACTTGGGCCTCCCCCATGACAAGATGGATGTCCTAGGTCAACCTGTCCCCCCTCCCCCACAAGCTCTCTCTGAAGCCCACACCATAGACCGCTACTCACCCAGCTAAGACCTGTGACCTGTATAAATGGCAATCATCAATCGGTCTGTGTGCACACAACTTGCAGTATTCTAAAGCCATTCACCTCAACTCAGTATCTCCTCTGCACCTCAGACTCAGGCCAAAAGGAATTGGTCTGCTAATGCACACCAAAATGTATAGACTTACCTTTCTATGCATCTATGTATCTTAAAGCCCTCCTTCACAAAGGAGGGCTGTGCTATTCCGTGACCAAGAGACACGCACTCAACGAAGTACAGTATTTATGTACAGTTTATACAAACAAACGTTTTTTTTTTTTTTTAGACATTGAGCCAAAGTGACAAATTGAAAACCAAAATGAAATTGTTTTATTTATTTTTGTATTATGGTGAATTCCAAAGAGAAACTGTTGCAAAGGAAATGTTGCAATCTGACCCTAAACCTGTGTACTAGTATCACCTGTGTACAAAAAAAGCACATAAGGACAAGATTCTGGGTTTGTGTCCAGACCTGAGTGAAACTTTAACCAAATAAATAAGCCAGCATTTCTGGACTTTAATCTAACGGGAGGATATATATATTTTATTATTTTTATTTTTCGTTTTTGGGGTACTGGACAAGTTATGTATCTCACCCTCCGGCTTCTCCCCATCATGTTCCTGCTTCCCAAGTTGCAAGGAAATGACTGAATGTTATGAGCAAAGCTTCAGCATTTCGGTAAAGTCTACTCCACTTTATTTTCTCCACATTTTTTAAAGTAACCCACTCCCCCGCATATTTGTGTGGATAAAGGCTCATGCTCTGTGACAGTAATGGTAGCTTAATCAGCCCTACACTCAACATGTAACCCCTCTTGAGCTAAAACTTCCTTTGCATTTTCACTAACATTCTTCAGTTGTTGTTGAGATGCAGCAAGCGCAGCCCTGTGATCTCATAACTGGGACATGATTGCGCATACCCAACTGATGACACACTAATCCCTGTTCATCATGAGTGTAGCTTCATCTGATGTGTAGACGAAGCATGGGTGTTGCCTCTGACATTGTGTAATATTTACATTTATGGATGAAGCTGAGCAGAGAGGCAGGGACCAGGTCAGATGACACAAAAATCTGTCATTTACTGTCAGGAGCGGTTACTCCATTCATTGCAGCTTGATGATTAATGGTGGAGCGGCAGATGCCGTGTTGGACGCCGCTCCACTGTTTGACCTCTCATTTGACCTCTCTCCCCTGTAAGTCTGTTGTCTGGGAGCCCTGCTACTGTTGACAGGCCAAAGAGAGTGCTGCACTCAGCTCTTTGCCTTAAAAGTGCTCTATATATGCTCCCCCTTCACACACACACGCATAGTGAGCTGCTAATCTGTCAGTGATATGAACATATGAAGGGGTTTGTGGGTCTTTCCTGGAAGCCAGTGGCTGAACAGCAAACCCCAGCTGCTGGGCTCCAGTAATCCCTGTGAAATCTCGCTTTCTCCTGGACAATTCGCACTGTTTGCCGGCATGATGTCCCATTTCATGCCTGCCATCTTACCCCTCTGATCCTCTTATTAACATCACATCCCAAGCCTAGCAAATGTGTCCCGGCCTCGCATCTCATCCCAGCTGCTAACCAACGTGGAACCAGAGAATGACATATGTCTTCAACTGACCGGCAGTTCCTCCAGCTTGAAAACAAAGAGCACTTAAAGGTTGCGGGTTGAAGGCACATTCTTGTCTTTAAATGTTTATTCCAAAGCACATGCTGATCTTTTCCCTTGTTTCTTTTCCACTTTTACTGGTCCTTGATTCAGATTGGAAATTTCTGACCACTATAGTGCCAATGCCAACCTCAGTGGGTGAATGTGAAGACGAAAGCCATAAATACACTGTGATAGACGTAGTGAATCTGAAAAGCTTAAAAAAAAAACAATGTGCCTGACTTTTGGGATTGTTTTTTAAAAATGTAACAGTAATTTAAGGGCTTCTTTTCTGTAGCATATTATCATATCAAACATGTCGTTTCCTGTCACTTACTTTTCTTTACTTCATTTTGCTTTGAACTGAAAGCAGCACACGTGAAACTGGTGCTTACCTCAGGACTGAACCCAGCACGGGAATAGTAAACCTTAGTAAACCTTTGAATAACAATATAAACTAATAGACACACATACATGCATACACAGACACTGTTTTTTTTTTTGTTTATTTAATTTTCTTACTAACAGGGCAGTTGTCCTGTGTTAAACCTGTGGTTATTTCTCTACATTTCTTGTTACAACTTTATGGTGGAGAGATAACATGTAATATTATCTTTTTTATTTTGATTTTTACTATGCGGTATAATTTCCTATTGTGTCGTCCTCAAAGAGGCTTTTGTCGGTCTGACCAGCTCCATTGTTATAACATCAGGCAAAGTCATAACTGGCTGCTTGGGAATTTCTGAACCACACTTCAGCGTGTGTAATGGCATTGATCTTTGGTTTCAGCCACACATACAGTAAAGTCTGGGTGACTGTTTTGAAATCAGTTTTTCCACAAGATGTATTATCTGTACTTTAGCCTCAAACTAGCCTCCTATCTTTTGACCCCTTTTTCTCCAGAGGTTAGTGAACTCTGGATGAGAGGCAGACTGAGGCTGTGCGTGCACATGAGCACACAGGAAACCAGTTTGTTTTGGTTGATGCTATAAGTTTTTTATTTAGTTCTGTAACCATAAACAAGTAATACCTTAAATGAAACTGATAGCAAGAACTTTGTCCACAAATGTGTATACGTGTTAAAAATGTTGGAACCAGTGGACGTTGGTCATGGGAATTTCAGTCCCCTTGCTCTCTCTTATTCACAGGTTTAAATGAAGATCTGTCTCCTCCTTTTCCTTGCCTTACACCACTAAAATAACACAAAGTCTTTCCACTGTCACTTCAAATCTGTGCAGGAGGGAAGAACAAGATAGCGCTTGAACATTTCTGTAGGATGTGCACTGTTTGAAATTTGCTTAATTGCATTAACGTGTGTGACAGACCGAGAGGGGGGGGAGGTTGTATATCTGTAGAAAGGGAAAGCTTTTGCTTGTCTGTTTGTGTGTCCCGAAGCTATTTGAGCATATGAAGGGGCTGTTAATGCATGTCCTGGGAATAGGGTTGGGGTGAAGGAGAAGAGCTGAGGCGCAGGAAGTGAACTTTTGGCTGATGTGTTGTGTTGAGCAGGATGTGCTGCGTGTTTGTGCTCAGAGGCAGATAGAGAGACGGAGAATGGGGAGGGAGAGGAGCAGGGCGAGCGCAGCAGGGTGGACACAAGCCATTGTCTCAATATGAAAGCCTAGTCGTACTTCTAAAACTCTCCATTCAGAAAAAAAAAGTGACTGTATCTTCTCTTTTCCTTCCTCTTTTTGCTCTTTGAGAATAAACCTCTGTTCAGTAACACAGTGATAGGACATTGTGGCTTTTCAAGGGCTTCACAGTGAGGAAGCCATGCAGACATTTTGTTACAATTTGAGGATGTTATGGATAGTTTTTTTTTGTTTGTTTTTACATACTTTTGGTCACAGGAAATTATTTCAAAATTTTCAGTATATTATGTCCATATTTTGAACCATTTTAAAAATGTGGACAGGGACGATGAGGGGCCTAGAAACTGGTGCCATCTGTCTACAGTGTAAATGATAATTAAAAAGCTGGCAGTATTTCTTTTGCTCTGCGGTTGATTCATTTAGTAAAAGCAAAAAAGACTTGTTTCAGTTTACTGGTGTAGCCACTCACCCCTTGGGGTTTTATGTCATGTGCCTTTGTAAATGTTATTTATAAGACACGCCGACCCAGAAACGCTCTCATTGCCACTGTAGTTTTTTAGATGAAGATGTTTTGAAAGTCATAAAAGGAATTAGTTACATTCATTAATATAATGAAAATAAGTGAAAACAAATATAAATGACTGCAGCAACACAAACTGCTGACTCTGTTATGTAGGTTGATCTTTTCATTTTATTTTATTTTTTAGGCCATTCCAATCCTCTTTAACGATATGGCAACCATCCCAGGCCTGTAACTTTTATAACACTAACAATATAGAAGTAGAACAGTCTGGATGAGTTCCAGTGTCCCTGTGTAGACCAAAAAAGGGGTCTGGTGTAATGTTATAAAATGCAAAGCATACCCTTAAAGTCTATTACTAGCAGTAGCTGGCTGAAGTCACCTGATGTGAAATCAAACCGCTGTTTGACATTTATTGTGTTTCACACTGTGTGCCAAAAGGAATGAAGCACTTGGCAGACGTTTCAGATGGTCAAAACAAAACTCAGTGACAGTCTTTGTAGTTTGCACAGGTCGCATTGCTGAGGTAAGCTCGACTGGGCCTTCTCATGAAAGCCATTATCTACGTGGCTTATCATGAGAGCACTGTGCAGACATGCCACAACTGTCCAGTGTACATATTTCCTGCCATGAGGTCTTATGATTTGATGTAAGCTAGCGCCAAACACTATCTATAATCCAGCCATATTTGACATTGAAACCAAAAACAATCTCTTAAAACAACAAACACAAATGTGCCTTCAGTGTAACATACATTCAGTGATTCTGCAATCATTTGTATGAGTCTATGTATTTGCGCGTGGTTGCGTCTGATGTGTCCACCTGTCCATCTACATGTCCGAACATTTTTTCCACAGTGTAGCAGAGGTTTAACACTTGTAGGAGTCTTTGTTACAAGCAGCTGCTTTAGATTTATTTTCCTGAGCTGCACTTTTTCTGGAAAATCATTGTATTGAGATATTTTATTACTCTTATGATCCATTAAAAGTCCCACAATTGCCTTTCCTCTGGCACTTTGCTTCCCCCACTTTCCCCCAGTGCAAGGCTTGGCCACACTCGTTCACTGCCCTTGTTACCTCAAAGCACAGCTCCCCTCCTCACCTCTCGGTGTCCCTTCTCTCTTCTTACACAAACCGCTGACCCACAGCGCCCGCTGCCTCCCTCCTCTCCCATGAACCACTTACTTCCAGCTGTTTTTCATGCTGTAGAAGACAGTTGTCTAAATGTTTATGTGACAAGCTACTTTCTTTTTCTTTAAGCCCTGATCAATTTCCAAAGTGAACTTTGTGGCATGTGTTAAAATACAGCAGATGATGAGCCAAATAAAAAAGTCTGACATCGTTATTGTATTCTGATGCTCAAGCCAAGAAATGGCTTACAAAGGGGAGATTAAAGACAGCATTTCGTTGTAGAGGAAATGCAGAATAATGAGAGGGGAAATGTTCTAGGGAAAATATGCTCAGAAAGATGTCTGTAAAGTAAACATGTATGAAATTGCACAATTGAGTCGGGCCTCGGCTGCACCAGCCAAGTCATTCGCTGAGATGGAGAGAACGAGTAAGGGAGAAGGGCTGAGAGGAAAAGAGCCAGAAACACAGAGAGAGAGAGAAATAGCTTGTGCTTGACAGTCAGACCTCAGTACATAACAAGGAAAGTTGGTTACTCGGTGTATCACCTCTTTTTTCCACTTTGTGTTGTGAGCTGCTCTATTTCATTTCCCTCTTTTAGGAAACTATTTTTTGGCCTTTTCATCATTGATTGCTGCAGGCCATGGTCAGGTTTTTGCATGTTAATGTTCATGTCAGCATGCCCTCTGAGGTGTCATCCTCATTTCAGACCCAACAATTACCACCCAATCAGCACGTGGCCCTCAGTAGGTTCTTTGTAGTTGAATAGGGAAGGTGCTTCTGACTGCTCACATCGTCCTGCATCTGTATAGCTTGGATCTCAGATATTTCTCTCCCTTGAACACATCCAGGATAAACAAATTGGACTATGGCATAAACCTTTTTATTTACGGTGTACAACTTATGCTCCTGAGGTTTAAATTCAAAGACAAAGAAAAAGCAAGGTAGGACATTTGGAAGAGTGAAAGTTAGTCAGGGAGAAGATTTGTATATCTCTTATAAAACATGCTCTCCTGTACAGACACTTCCACACGCAGCTGGATAGCAGACTTCTGCTCTGGATTAGGTCAGATATAATTAGAATGTCCTGTGCCGTTTGGAGTGTCGCTTCATGTAGGAAAAGCCATTATTAAAGAAAAGGCACTTCCACTGATGCCTTTCACCCAATACACACCAACAACTTTGCCTAAAATGTTACAGGGCCCCAGGGTCCACACACACACACCAAAGCATCTAGATGGTTTTGGAATATGGCTATGTGTGTGGAAATGATGGATCATGCTCTAATGAAGATGGCTGTGATGTTTCATAGTGGTTGTACCCAACTGGTTGTGGTTCAGGGATAAGAAGGTCCAGCAGTAACACAGACTGCCATGCAGACAATAGTAGCTGCACATTAATGGAAGAAAACACATGACCGAACACATATATCACAAATTTGCAATGGAACTGAGATTTTTTAGAGGAAGACAGGTGTGAAACATTAGCAGTGTCTTGTGTTTCATTTTATGGTTTTACAACAGTTCATACCATAAATACAACTAAAAGCAATACAGTAAACCAAACAGTATTTTTTTCATGTTCTACGTTTCATTGCCAATATTGAACTTACTTTGCTTTAGTGAAATGAATGTATTTATTGCATGTCAACATGTTTTATAGTTCATTTTTGTGTAAATTTCAATTGTGGGTTTTTATAATAATTTCATTTAATTATAGTGTCTTGATAAAATCATGTTGATTAGGCTTTTATTTTTTTTAAAAGCCAATGTGAAAAATGTCTTTTTTTTTGGTTGTTACTATATTCAAAATCAACTTGGCAATAAAATGAATTGCATAATGGATTCATGAGGAAATGTGTCCTTTTATTTCTTACTCTTTTGTGTATATATATATATATATATATATTTATCTTAATTGTATTAAACATTAAATTACTTATCATTAAAACTGATATTTTCTTGAATTTAATTACTTTACATTTACCTCATTTCCAAATCTTCCATAGGAAAACCTAAGTATTACATCAGTGCAGCAACCATTTGTGTTCTGACACATTTATTGTGCATGATATAATAAAAGAAAATATGATCTAAACTCTCTCACAGCAGAGATGACCACAAAAATGAACCACTTCTGTTCAGTTTCCTAAGATACATTTGCCTTCAAGTCTATATTCACCCATTTGGAGATGTGAGTGCTGCACTTGAGACAGAATTTCAAATGAATCTCATACATCACACACGGTCCACATGCAACAATGACCACATCTATTACTCTGTCAACAGGAGCAAAAGGAGCCAGACAGGCACACACACACACACACACACACACACACACACACACACACGGTGCCTTGTCCATGGTGTGAAAATCACCTGATTATCACCAGCACATAAAAAATCATAGTGCCTTCCAGATGTTTGATATGAGTCAAGTAACTTGGCGTAAATTGTATCATGACATAAAACAAATTAGCATTTCTTCTCTCAGCGGTTGTAAATCATAAACACTCATGAACCCGAAGGCGCTTCCTGAGAGATCATAGTCACCTGGTGTAATGAAAGACATCATCCACTTTATCCTGTTTGAACAGTAGGTGAAAACAAAAGGAACAGCAGGACATTCATCATGCCTCACTTCATTCTGCTTCTGACCCTCTGTCACTGGCACTGTTGCTTTTAAATCCCAGTTTATTATAATGTGCATATTATTCTCACAGTTGTGCTCATCATATCCATGTTTGACAAAAGACCTGTGACTCAAAGTCCACTTACTAGCTTTTTCTAGAGCTTTCAAGGTAGTAAGTGGTTTCAACCTTCTATGGGTTATGAGAACAGTTCACTGTAGCTTACACGTGGCTACAGGGTGGTATTGCTATAGTGAAGTTCTACAGTACAAGGTACAAACATTTTGATAGATCATCTAAAACACCTTATTTGCCCTATGTTAAATTACTGCAAAGGGCTACATGGATGGGGAGTCGCTTCAGATGCCAGCGTGACCCGAATTATAAAACAGGAAGTCTCATTTGAATAACAGATGAATGCATTTTAAACACTGCACAGCTCTTTCTAACACTCACACACAGGATTTTTCAACTCTGGAACATAAACATAGAAGCAGTTATTTTATTTACCATTGCACCAAGTGCAAGGTAAACAGTATACACATATGTGACTGACTAATGCAGCAGATGACATTGCACTCTGTTGCAACAAAAGCTGAGCCTGGTTTTACCTCTTTTTTCAGATGACTGTGTTGTTTTGCTAGAGCTCCATGCAATGGCTTCTTGCAGTATCATTGGACTGGCCTCATTCAAATGAATAGGGATGGTATGTTTTTAATCATGTGGGCTGAACATGGCCTAAAACTTTGTTAGTAGTGTTGGTAGCAATCCCTTGAAAACCTTATGTATGTGCACCTGTAAGAAAGTAAGTCCAGTAGGTAAAAGTTGAACCAGAGTACCAGTCTTTAAATTGTTGTGTCTTATGCAATAATTTTACCATTTGTTTTTGTTCTCTTGTCCAAATAAGTGCCAAATAAAGTGGGCTTAAATAAATTTGTTTAGAATTGTCTAAAGGTGCAATCACTTCTGATTTTTACCTGGTGGCCAGGCAGCTGTGCTTCAGGTTCAGTGCTATCATGACTAATAAATGAAATGACAAAACAAGAAAATAAAACCATTTGTGTAAAAAAACTGGAATTTTACTTTAATATCTTCAATTTAGGGGCAGTTGTTTGACACTTCAGTGCCCACTGCTCCAATGTGTTCTCATTCCCAAGGCATCAAATACTGAAGTTTTGTCTAGTACCTCATATTGATGTTAAAGGGTGCCTTTGGCATATACATACAGTATAAGACACCATATAGGTTTTCAATACATAACTGTGTTAGCATACTTCTGTATGTGCACAAAAACAACCGGCTTATGTTTAGCTACTTTGAAAGTGTAGTTTTGCAAACTATCAGTTACTTCACAGTGCAAAAAGTTAAACAGTAGCAAACCTACTCTAGAGAGGCATGTAGTTTGGTAAAGTTACTTTACAAAACTATAACATAATAAAAGAAAACCCACATACCAGCAGAAAATGCCACTCAGTTGAATTTACCTGATACCTGATAACAAAAATAAAAACAATGTCCTAACAAGTTACAGGTCCACATGAGGCAATACATGAGCACAGCTTAGCAGGGTACTGGGAACAACACCAAAGGCTCAAATACCAGCTGTTGATAGATAGAGCAGTCACCAGTGACTCATGATCCAGACAGACCAACCTGAGTACAGCCTGGATTGACTACAGGGAAACCTATGACTCAATGCTGCACACATGGATCTGGGAATACCTGGGACTAGCCAAAGTAAACAGGACACTAAGGTCTTTCATAAAGAGCTCAATGGGACTGTGGAGAAGTCCTGGAAGTCGAAGTCAACTCCAGACCAATTGCACAAATGAACATCAAGAGCGGCATATACCAAAGTGATGCACTATCCCCGCTGCTGTTCTGCATCTGCTTGAACCCTATCAGTCAGATCATCACAAGATTTGTTGTTCAAGAATGGAGCTACCATCAGCCACCTCCTCTACATGGATGACATCAAGCTGTATGCCAAGAACAAATGGAGGACATAGAAGCTGCCAATGTGAAGACCCAGAAACTCCTCACAGTGTACAGAGGCTTCCAACCAAAGAGACTGTATAGTAGCCAGAAAGGGGGCGGACAGGGCCTGGTCAGTGTCAAGGCCACTGGGTTTCATCCAGGAGTACATCAGCAAGATGGCACCCAGAGAGAAGCTGCTGCAAGAATGTCTGAGACGGCAACAAACTGGGACCGAAGACCAACCAGATGAAGTGTCATGGCATGATGAGATACTGCATGGGATGTACCACTGACAGATAACTGTGGTGGGCCACACTGGCCTGGAAAAGGCTGGCCTAACAGACAGCATTGAGGCACTGATCATAGCAGCACAAGAACAAGCACTAAGAACAAGATCAGTCGAAGCAGGGGTCTACCAAACCAGACAGGATCCCAGGTGCAGCCTGTGCAAAGAGGCCTCAGAGACAAACCAACACATAGTGGCAGGATGTAAAATACAGGCAGGAACAGCAAACACTGAACGGCACAACAAAGTGGCTGGCACTGTGCACAGAAACATCTGTGACAAGTTTGGTCTAGACCCTCCCAGGTCCAGGTGGGAGACTCCTCAGAAGGTCATGGAAAATAACAGGACTAAGATCCTGTGGGACTTCCAGATCCAGACAGATGGGAAGGTACTCGCCAACCAACCAACCAGACATGGTGGTAGTAGACAAGGAACAGAAGGAGATAGTGGCGACAAACACAGCAGTTCCAAGTGTTAGCAACAGCAAGAAGAAGGAGTATGAGAAACTGGAGAAGTATCAGGGCCTGAAAGAGGAACTGGAGAGGATGTGAAAAGTAAAGCCCAAAGTGGTCGCAGTGGTGGTAGGAGCACTCGGAGCTGTGACTCCTAAACTAGAAGAGTGGCTCCAACAGATTGCAGGAGCAGCATCAGAGCTCTCTGCCCAGAAGAGTGCAGTGCTAAGTACAGCGAAGATACTGTGCAGAACCCTCAAAGTCCCAGGCCTCTGATAGAGAATGCGAGGTTGAGGAAGCCATACACATTGCCCTGTAGGGGTGCAAAGGACATTTATATATACTCTGTATATGTGTATGATACATGAGCAGGCTATCAAAGTTCTTATCCAAAAGGTGGTTAGGGTTAGAGAAGCAATGGTAAAATAAAAAAAAAAATCATTCCTTTCCTTTTATGGTCCAAAATGATTTTAGTTGCAGTAGTTAACTACTCACACACACTCACAAAAAGGCAAGACTATAATGAACTACTTCAGTCACTACACAACTATGAATGTAGTATGTATGTAACCCTACCAGCAAGTTATGGCAAAATGGAGTTCACTACTCCGCAACACTGGTTATAGTCAGGTACAAAAACGAACTGGTTATGGTTAGGAAAATATTGTGGCTTTGGTTAAAACATTTGAAACAAAACAAAAAAAAAACACAGTAATTAAAATCACTTCATTACATATTGGATGTGAACTCTGCTCCCCCATAGGAAAGGGAGGGATTTTGTGTGTCCCATCATCCACCCCAACTACCTCCTTATAATGTCTTTCTGTCTTCATACACTGCCATCTTGCTCTGGGCATCAAACACTGACATGAATGGAAACTGTACTGAAAACCCTGTGTGTCTCATTCTGTATGAGACGCTAAAGGTGCTTGACATAACGTCAGTTTTTGACGCCCCGGGAATGAGGACAAGCTCACTGCTCACACAGAGAAACCAAAGCACTTATGGCAGCAGGCCAGCCTCCACCCTGCCCCTTTGCCTCTGTACCACTCTGAGGCATCACATATTAAATGGCAAAGGTCTGAGGTGTCTGGTGTCGGGCAGTGGGTGCCCTGATTCAGCCTGGTAATGTCAAGGGGGGTCCCACTAGTCCCAAGTGTGCAAATGTGAGTGAGTGTCACTTTGCTTGTGTTAGCTCAGTGATGGAACAGCTCAGGATGTTTTCAATACTTGTGAGCCATGTTCAGGGAGAGAGGCTCCAGACCTTTTTCACCCTGATTAGGACTAATCATGTAAAACATAAACAGATGAAGCTCAGCAGAGAATCAGTGGGTTTCCAGCTGGTGCTTCAGATGCAGAGTAGCTGGGACATGAGAAGGATGAAGGTGTCAACGGCACAGTCATTTAAACTCTGGGGGACTCTGTGATGCCTGCACACAGACACATTGCAGTGACTCAGCACTAAGTGAAAAGTTAGGAAGTGTGTGTTCATATGTGTTT